TGATAAATAAAATTATTAATTGTGTAATTATACATGGGTGTTAATTATGATTAGTGTTATAGAAGTATGATATCAACAAAGAGAATTTAAGAACAAGAACATTTTTTTTTTTAAATTTTATTTCTACCCATCAAAACAAATGGTTTTTTTTTTTATTTTTAATTTATGTTTGAAAAATAAGAATAATTAAAGTAAATGTTATTATACCCTTAATTTATATTAGTGAATATATATTTTTACATTTAAGTAATTTAGGTTCAAAGATTTATTAAGCTAATTATACTTTTTAGAAAATAGAATTATTGATTAAAATACTTGTAATTTAAACTTCCATACCATTTAACTTTTTATTTTTAATTATTGAATAAATAGACGTTAATCATAATCTATATAATAAATTTATAATTAAAATAATTATATTTATATTTTAAATTTAGTAATAGCGAAAAATTTATATTTTTATTTATCAAGTAATAACTTAAATTGGGTATATATATATATATATGTAATTAAAATGTCTAAATTTATTCCTTATTTTTATTCTATAAAAATTAAACTTGAACTAAAATCAATGTAATAATAATACTATTTAACTAATTAATTGAATAAATAAGATTATTAAAATAGAAGAAAATAATAAAAAAAAATGATGGAGGTGCATTAATATGAATTATACTAATTTGGTTTATTCAATCAATGGATGAGCATGCTTATAATATTCCAAATTTACGAATCAATAAACAATGCCTAATAATCAAATCCAACATATGGCCCCATTTTGGATGCCCCTTGACCCACTCTATTTAATGGCTCTCAGATGTTTGATTCATTATACATATATAATATATATATGTATATATATTCATAATTATAATAATTAAAAAAGAAAAAGAAATTGACCCACAATCATGCTCCATAGCAGGGAACTGAAAAGAAAAACGTAATGGTGAACTCAGAAGGGAAAAAAGAAAAAGTTATGGGGTTAATTCAACAATGCTTCGCCTTAAAGACTGAGACAGCTAATTCCCATACAATACATACCTACATATATATGTATGTATGTATGTATGTATGTATAAACAAATTTTCAACCCACTAAAAGTAGATGGATAACAAAGTTATACATACGTATATTTAACATTTGAATTATAAATTATATTTAAGATTAGTTTGAAGTTAATTCCTTTTTAACATTTTTTAAAACGAATTTAACGTTAATCCAACTTTATATACTAATTACCAATGTTTGTTGTCCGATTTGGCTTCCTTTACACAATCAGAAACTACTCTTAATATATATATATATATATATACACACACACACACACGTTTAAAAAAAGACCAAAAACGAGTAAAGTGATTTAACATATTTTAACAAAGTGAACAAATCATTCTATTAGACTCTCAAATTGAAATTAATTTTCAAATTCTAATCAATTAATCAGGAAGCTAAGCCTTATTGCTACTATCAGAAAAAGTTACTCAACAATATTGATCAAACACAGAAATAGAGAGAGACACTCATTTACTCTTTTCCTGTTTCTCTCTCCTATTTCTTAGCTTTCCAATCATGCAACCCCAAGACCAAACAGGTTTCCTCATTAAGCATAGTGAAAGAAGGTAGTTGTGATTGAGAAAAATATATAAAAAAAAAAACATTTATATGTTATATACACTATGTATATGAAAGTACTAATAGTAATCTTTTGGTGTATTGTAACTCAACCATTAAGTGCCTGATAAAACCCTTAATGGCACTGTCTTCTTCTATATATATATATATATATATATATATATGTATGAACAGATATATATGAGAGAGTTGATGGGTTTTGAGTGTACTGAAGTTCCTGCTAATCAAATTCTTCATCACCATACTTCAAAACTCCCCACATCCAAAAGGCCCACTATAATTTTCTTATTAATAAAAACTGTACTGCCACAATCTTTCTCCATATACACCTTGTCTCCTACTCTTTCCCTATATCACTTCTTCTTCTTCTTCTTCTTTTTCCTCTTCTTGTTCATATCTCAGTACTCTGCTCATGGCTCTCCTTCTTTCTCTTGTTGTTCTTCTAGTTTTCTTTGCATCTACAAATGCTGATTGGCCTCCTCCACCTGGATATTGGCCAAGTACTAAGTTTAGGTCTATGAGTTTTTACAATGGTTATAGAAATCTCTGGGGTCCCCAACATCAGAGAATGGATCAAAACGCATTGACAATCTGGCTTGATAGCTCCTCAGGTTTAACTACTTCATCTTATACATATATATATATATGTACACACACACACATACATGTATATATATAGTAAATTTCTTTTCTGGGTATGTCAGTTTCTTTCATTTTATTAATGGGTTTTTGATAACAGGAAGTGGGTTCAAGTCGGTTCGTCCTTTTCGATCAGGATATTTTGGCGCATCCATCAAGCTTCAGCCTGGTTATACTGCAGGAGTTATAACAGCCTTCTATGTAAGAAAAATGAACTTCACCTATATTTTTCTAGCTTAATTGGAAATCACTCTCGTACATTAGTTTTTTTAACTTTGAGATTTACAATAAGAAATGATCTTTAATTAATCAATTAATTAAATTAACAAAGGATCTTTAATTATATGTGGGACAGCTTTCAAACAATGAAGCACATCCAGGATTCCATGATGAAGTTGACATTGAATTTCTAGGAACAACATTTGGGAAGCCATATACTTTACAGACCAATGTGTATATAAGAGGAAGTGGAGATGGAAAAATTATTGGGAGAGAGATGAAGTTTCATTTATGGTTTGATCCAACTCAAAATTTCCACCATTATGCCATTCTTTGGAGTCCAAAAGAAATCATGTAAGTTGTAAAGTGTATATATTTAATCTTTGACTGAATCACATTAGAATACAAAGGGACATATGTTAACTCTTCTTATTTTATTCAAATTTTTACAGCATTTTTTTTATATGGGTAATTCTTGTATGGCTGGGAAGTATATAAAAAACTCATCTTTACTTCTTGGAATAAAAGAAAGAAATGATGGTACAACAATTATGTCTGAAAAGTAATACTTCTATTCTTGGATTTTTATGTGGCTTTTACTTTTTGGGTATGAATAGTGATATTATTTGGGACTTGAGTAATTATTGTTCTGCATTTCTATAATCATACAATCACATGACCTTGCAAATTACACCATCCCTCTAAAGTTATGGACTTTATAAGAATATAAATAATAAAGAGAAGTCCAGATCACATGTGGAAGTTGAACCCTTTTTTTTTATGACAATAACACAATATTTCAAAAAAAAAAGTAACTGAGTAGACTGAATTTTACTGTGCCACTACTATTTATTTACTTCAATTCTTGCTACCCATTAACTAATCGTATCACCTAATACATATATTATCATATGTTTCATTGTTTTCCTTACTGGATTAAATATATATATATATATATGTATGTATCAATCTTCCTTTTTTACCTTTTTTTTTTTTTTACTTTTTTCACCAAATTCATTTGTATTTTGACAGATTCTTAGTAGACGATGTGCCCATAAGGAGGTACCCTAGAAAAAGTGCAGCAACATTCCCTTTGAGACCAATGTGGGTTTATGGTTCGATATGGGATGCTTCATCTTGGGCAACTGAAGATGGAAAATACAAAGCTGATTACAGATACCAACCATTTGTTGCAAGATTTACTAATTTCAAAGCTGGAGGTTGCTCAGCCTATTCCCCGGCTTGGTGTCGTCCGGTCTCGGCCTCCCCATTTCGGTCTGGTGGGTTGAGCCGGCAACAACACAGAGCAATGAGATGGGTCCAAACCCATCATTTGGTCTATAATTATTGCAGGGACCCAAAAAGAGACCATTCACTAACCCCCGAGTGTTGGAGTTAAAAAAGGACAGGAAGGAAGAGGGTAAAAGTAAAAACTTTGAGAAGCCCAAATAAAAAAGTTACTCAAATTTTACTTTTTTCTTTTTAATTTTTGTGATATCTCTTTTGTTTTCATGTGTTGCAAATTAGGTGGAGGATGTCTTGAGATGTGTCCCAATTGTTAAAGACACATATCTCATAAAGCAAGGGCAATTGAGCGTCCAAGGCTCCAAAGATTGATGAGATAAAATATTGGGTTTCAAATACAACAAAAAAAATAAAAAAATAAAAGCAAGGAAGAAATTTATGTGTTATTGTTTTTCTTTTTGGATTTTTTCTTTGAGAAATTGGGTTATTTGTAAATGTTTATAGGTAAAAACAAAGTTTGTGATGGGGAGATCAGTAAAGATGGAGGTGATAGGAGTATCACCTCAAGGGAGTGTTCTTTTCAGATGTAATGACATTTCTAAATAAAGCAAAAGCTTTTCCTTTCTGTTATTTTTATGAACATTATATTTTACATTCTTCTAAAAGAAAATTTATGTGTTTTGAAATTCAGTGCCATGAAAGTGGTTTTGTAGAACAATAAAATGGAATGAAAATCAAAGGAGCAACCTAACAAGAACGGGTATTAATTCAAAATGATTTTAATGTCTTATAAATTTTATTTTTGTTTTCGGCATATTTTCGTTCTTCTAAAAGTTTTTAACTAGTTGTTATTCTATTTACTTATACATCATGCACTTGGATATCTAAATCTTTAAACACAATCTCCTTATACATATGACTAGTATTTTACATTTTTATAAAATTGCGCACAAAAATTTCATAAATGAATACTTAAAATATGTATTAATTACCTAAAATATCTAAAACTATTTCAAAATATTCAAATGAACACTTGGTTATTTTTAAAAACAAGAGAGACCTAATTAGAGTTAAGCTCAAAGCTCACTAAAACTTGTGCAATTTATCTTAATGTAAAAGCAAAATATGGAAAAATAAGTTTGAAACCAAATCTCTAGCTTTAATTTTATATAAACAAAATAATTTTTACTAAATTAAAATGAAAAAAGAGAGAGGATATTTTTGTACATTTTTTTTTTAATATTGAAAAAAAAAAACAGACAAAAAGATTCATAATTATAGTAAATCACTATTTGTTTAACTAGATGGTTTGATTTAAATGGATTTACGAATCCAAAAAGGTCAAACTTAGATGTTGTGCCCCAAGAGACATTTCATAATTTCCCATTTATATATATTTTTTTACATCGTTGAAAATTAATGAAAATCAATCAATAGATGTCCATGCATTATTTTACACAAGAAAGTTGAAGCATATCACGTAAATTCATGTTCATGTTGGTTAACAAATCAATGACGTGCATGATTAAAAGTAAAAGATATTTTAAATAAAAGGTTTTAGTTTGATCCATAATTGCATGGATTTAATTTGAATTTTTTAGGTGGTTTAGCTATTTGTAGATCATACTTCAAGAGTTGTTTGAAGTTTAACTTTCATTTAGTTGGTTATTTTATTGTCATTTTTTTTATTTAGTTGTTATATTTTAACAGTACAATATCAATTTTAGTATAAAAATGATAATACATAGATATGCTCATGTTCAAACGAGGTTTTTACTTAAAACAGTGGAAAGAAATCTTCCTCTTTTAGTAGGTTAGATACGTTTTAGTTAGTACATAATAGTTATCAAAATTTCTTGATCTTATACAATTTAGCATTGTTGATTCCCTTGTAGATCATTGTCTGGTAAGGGGGTCTGAAATAATGATGAGAGTTTGGGACTTCAGTTGTTTCTTATATTCAATGCAATTGCAAAGTTAGCTCTTCGAGGGTCTTTATGGATGAAAAATAAAAACATTACAATATTCAAGGTAACAGAAAAAATCACACAAGCTTAAGAGGGATATGGTAATTTGGCAAGAGGAAACCATTGAATTAGTATAAAATAAAATTGGACAAATCCCGTTGGAACTTCAAGGGATCATCAAGCTTCAAGAATATATTTTATTGGAGGATAGAAATAAAGGACCTATGGGAACTAATTTGAGTGTAGGAGAGTATGTGTTAGGAGAAAAACTACAATGAAATGATAAAAATAAAAAAAGTGATTATAAGAACATTTTTTTCCATTAAATGTTAAATATTAAAAAGAAAGTAAATAGAGGGGCTTTTTTTTTTGTTTAGGTGCGAACTCAATGACTTAGGACCCTATGTGTTAAAGATGGAGAGGTATTTTTAAGGAACATTCTAAGAGTAAAAGTAGGTGTGTACTGTTAATAGGAGATGCAAACTTTAAGTTGTTTTCACCTTCTTCTGCAAATGAGTTAGAGAAATCATTTAGTAAAAAGGATGCATGTATAAGTACTAATCAAGAGTTTGAGTAAAAATAAAGAGGCATGTATAACTATTAATCAACAGAATGGCGATAAAGCACCAAACCCTATGAGCTTAATCTTATTTTTATGCTAGTAATTGGGAGATCTTGAAAGAAAAATGATGATGATATTTCCAAAGTATTTTCATACTAAAAATTTTCAAAGTTCCCAATGTCTTGTTTCTAGCATGATACGAAAAGTAGAAAATCTAGGATCAATAAAGGACTTTATACCAATATCCTGAGAGTTGTGTATAAAATTTTAGTTAAGATTTAGAAAATACACTTAGAAGAATGATAGGGTTATTAGTAACAAGATCTCAATTTATTTTTTAATAATTAGGTAATTAGTGACCTTGTACTAAAATCTCTGGAACTTGTTAAGTTGATGAGAAAGAAGAATTAAGGTAGTTTTTATGTTTAAGCTGATTCCAAAAGACTTATAATTCAATTGATTAAAATTTTCTCAATTTTATAATAGAAAAAAAAATAAAATTTTTGAATTAAATTGAGAAGATAGATATGATAATGTGTGTCAGTAGTAAGACCTCATATTTAGTGATCAAATCAATTTCTAATAGATAGAGTGGTTACATAAGATGATCTTTTATTCTTGTTCATTTTCAACTTAGTATTGATAGGATTATCTTGTCTTATGTCTAAGACTATAAAGGGGTATTGGTGAGTGAGATAAAGATAAAAGTCAAGAAAAATAGAATAATATTTGTAGTTTAATTATGAAATTATAACATTTTATAGGGATAATGTAGGTGTGATCTAAGTGCAAATAGGACCTTGAAGTATTTTTGGAGGCAGGATTAGGCTTAAGCATAAATTTTAAAAAAATTATTTTATTGGGTTTGGGGTATATAATTCTCGGGTATTAGATGTTGCTAGAAAGAAAGAATACCATATTGGAGCATTTTCTTGCACTTATTTGAGGTTATCATTTAGTATTAATCTAAAAGCCTTGTCAACTTGGCTGATAATTTTTTGACAAGTTAAAAAAAACTATTCTCGTAAAAAAACTAATTTGTTGACTTTCGATTAGTTAGAAAGAGATTTTCCTCATGAAAAGCTATATTTTTATCTATTGGAGAGATTAATTTTAATTAAGTCTATTGTGAATGCCTTCCATGTATTTTACATGTATTTGATGAAGATTCTAATAAGAACGGCAAATAAAAAAGCCTAATTAGAAGTCTTCTTTAGGATAGTGATCCATGGGATAGGGGTATTTAGTTTATTGCTTGGGATGTGGTTGTCTTATGAAAAAGTGAAGGAGATTTAACCTTAGGTAGCATCATAGATATAAATGATGAAATTGCCTCCCCATAGAGAGATTTGTTATACAATATTTATAGGTAAAATTAATATAGCTTTTTATCATTAAAAAAATTCTTACGAGGTGTCGCATGTAAAAGCCCAAATTCCTATCAGAGATTTCGAGTGTATAACTCAATAATAGTAAAATAAGCAATATTAAAATTTATCATTTAATGAAAGCAATTAAAGTTTGAAGGTTACATTTCTTGCACGTTTACTTAAAATACCCAATAGGGGCTATGAGAATGCCTTTGAAAATTAAACAAAAAAAAAACATAGAAGAAAAAAAATATGGTTAACCTTTACTCGAAACTGACGAAGCAGAAGAGGTAATCTCTTAATTAGTCTCTTGGTGTTCAGGATCCAAATTTTAGTCATCCTGATGTGAAATGGTTAACAAGAAAGGGGTAAGGTTCACTAGTTTAATAAGAATATTAATGTCTTACCGGAGATACAGAAAATCATAGTAAATAGAAAATATAAAACAACCAATGGAACCCATT